TTAACGATTGATTGTATAGACTATTGTTTACATTCCTCTCGAAAAGTTTTCACTCTTATGGAGACGCCATCACTTCCCGGTGGAAAGGGACCTTTTTTTGTGCCAGCAGAGCACCAACTGCTAGACGGGACCTCGGTTGATAGGTCTCATCCGAAGTACCAGTCTCCACATCCCACAGTGTATTAATTAAAAGTAACTCTCATTAAATAAAATATCCGACCATTGGAATCACACAATTTTTAAAACCAATGCAGATGCAATGCAATGAAAGATCGAATAAGATTGTTTACCATGTCTGTGCAGTGTTACAAACAACTAAATTCGAAACCCGGATCGTTTCTGACGAAATACGTCACCGGTCAATAGAACGCGCAGTCTATTGACCGGTCAATAGAACGCACATTCTACTGACCGGTCAATAGAACGTGCATTCTATTGACCGGTCAATAGATCAGTTAGAAAAGATAAGGAAAGCTGAAAACACATACAGAATAGATGAAAATATTAAATCTCTAATAAAACAACAAAATTCACTTGATTAGGTAATAAAATGAATTACATAACCATTACATGTGATACAATTTTTTGGCATTACACATTACTTTGAGTTCATGTTATTCATTGAAATGCATTACCATTACAATAAGCAATATTCCAAGCCTGTTGTGTAGTCAGCACTTTCGTAGATGAATTATGTTCATCCTAGAATATAAATTTGAGCCCGTATTAGAGAATTTGAAAACTGCAAATTTAGGAAACATTTTTGTATTATTTGGTTTTTCATGAGTTTATTTCTATTCAATATAAGCATCGAAGTAATGTTCCGTAAAAAGTTCTCTTTTTGAAGTGATATCAGGGCTTTCTAATGATGACTGAATTAACGAGGCTCGATCTACATATACTTGATCTGAGCATACGATTTAAGTAGCATCGACTCGGGCACGTCACAGTACCCTTGACTGTCGTCACAATTGAATACAATAACGTCAAAATTAAACCTGTCTCTTCTTCTTATAAGGGTGTAGTTTCAATCCACATTTTGATGGAATTTCTTAAGTCGACATAATCCCCTATTTTACTTTAATTTGATATTTTACTTTCATTCACAGTATTCTCTACATTGTTCTATCTGTAAATTAACAATATAAAAGATTCGGAGAGTTGTACATGCAAATATACATTACATCTATTCCCATTATGCTCATTTGTAGCACGAATATGACTTCCGTCGAGTGGAAGTATATTATATTAAGGTTACTTTACTTATCAGTTTCGATGAATAGACTCCAGTATCTAAAGAAAAAAAACAGGCACTTCCAAAAAGCTCAAAAAAATATTTTCAAGAGTTTAATGAACGAAATGCATCGTAAAAACCAATCAATCTGCAGTGGTTGGATACTTAATGCATGTACGCTGTGATTGGTTTGGAGGAAGGGCGAACAACAGGCACGTAGCATTGTTTTTGAAAGGGGGGGGGGGCAGAGAAATTATTTTTACTTACCTGTGAAAGCTGACAAGCAAAAAAAAAAAGGAAACTACCCAAACTCGAAAATCAACTTCCTTTCGCATCTAATTTTTTTTGGGCATACAAAACTACATTTCCTTGATATCACTGTACTGTGGTAACCTTAACAATATAATACTATAGTTAACTTTAGTTTACTATAGTTAACTATCGTTATAACTTTGACTCATTGAAAACTTTGATTTACTATAGCGATAATTTTGACAATTTGAAAAACTTTGGTGAAAACTTTGATACTTTGAGAAACTCTGACGAAAACTTTGATACTTTGAAAAATGTGGGCCAACCAAACCTTTTAATGGACATTTTCAATAGTAAAGGTAATGTTGGGAAAAAAGTGGGGGCCAGTCCCCCCCTCCCCCCTTCCGCTGTTGCTACGTGCCTAAACAATTATTTCTTACAATTAAAATTTGAAAAAATGGCATTCAACGTTAATTTAAATCAGATCGGTGATTATTCAAAATCTGTATTCATTTGTAAATATCAGTGAATTTTTTTATTTTAAAAAATAAATGAAACTAACAACCTGCCTTCACGTAGCGTTTCGTAATGTATAAAGCTGATCATAAAAATCAAACATCTAGTTATGATTAGTAGTAGTATAGAACATTACTATTATTATAGGAAGTATGCGTGTAGAATAAAACTTTATTATTATTACTTTGAAACTTTTAAAGATAAGATCAAAGAAGGACAACGTGTAGTCAGGGGGAGTAATCAAGACGGAAGAGAGGGGGACATTGGAACGGTAATAGAAGTCTTTAACGACGCAAAACAGGTGCGAGTGCAGTGGGACTCATCGAATAGGGCAGAAGACGAAAAATACAGTACAGGACTTGAGGGGAAATACGATTTGAAACTTTTCGATAACTCACAAACAGGTGCTTTACCTTTTTAAAGTATGATTGACAAGCATGATTCCTCACTTATGACTAGTTAATATATTTTTAAATGTAAATTTTATAAAACAATATTTACAAATGTTTTTCCCCCAAAAAATAGTTATTTAAAGAAAATTTAAAAGTATATCCATCCTTCTTCACATATTTGATAGATATTCGCATGATGCCTTCGTTTACAGCACTTCTAACTGGAAAGCATTTAATTTAGAAAAAAATCTCTTTTGTTTATTTTCAAAAAGTACACAAAATAATTCAGAGCTAATATTAGTCTTTCAATTCTTAAACCATTGATTAAGGTTTCGTCAAAGGTCAACTTGTCTAAAAAATTATTTTTTACAAATTCTCCAAAACTATGTGTGGTATAAAGTCAAAACGTTTACAGTTTTTAAATATATCACTGATTAATAGATAGAAAGTATTACTTGATAACAAATATTTTTAAAAAGATATTTTTTTTCGAAAATTGGATCAGAAAATGTGCATATTTAAAAAAAAATGCACCTGCTTAATTCCATCCTTGTTGTGAAAACCAACATTGTAGAAATAATATATGTTTATCATTGAAGGGCAAGTTGGACGTGAATGGTCTCTGAAAGGCTGTTATTGAAAGCATGACATGTATAAAGACAAGACCCACGTCTTAACATTTGGACAAAATAAACAGGGAAAACAACTTTCCAGAGGCTATCCAAGTCCAACTTGCTCTTCATTGATAAACATATTTTGTTTCTGCAACGATGGTTTTCACTAAAAGCACGGAATTAATTAGGTGCTTTTTTTTTAAATATATGCATTTTAAGAAGAATTTTTCTCAATTAATATTATTCCAAGTATTTTTTTTAATCAAGGAATACTTTCTATCTGTTAATCATTCAAAAATTTATAAACTGTAAAAGTTTTAATTTTATACCTTACATAGTTTTGGGGCTATTGTAAAAATAATTTTTGGACATGTTGACCTTTGACGAAACCTTAAATCGGATGCCTCAGAGATCTGTAACATAAAAAATGTCCTTTTCAAGAGGGTTTTATTGACGATCAGCATTGAAATTTATTTTCTGTATGTCGCTTGAAACCTTTTTATTATAAGGTGTACATCACAAGTTTCATGGATGTAATGGCTGTGAAGAAAGCCCAATAATTGGAATGCGATGGCGATGTTTGTATTGCGAGGACTACCACTTGTGTACGAAGTGTTATATGCAAGACGAACATAAAGTAAAACATCCGTTTGAAAGACATCAGGGAATGAAAACAATGAGGTATAGATTTTCTAGGATTTTTAGAGTAAACTCAGGTAACCTAATGCTATCTATTTTCGTCCGCCGTACGTCGGTCGTAAACGTTTGAAAATTTTTAGTTTCTTCTCTGGAACCACTGAACCAATTTAAACAAAATTCGGTATACAGCATTTATGGATTAAGGAAAACAAAAATTTTGAATGTCATGGTCCCTGCTCCCCTGGGGCCTGAGGGGTGGGGCCAAAACCACTAAAATTAATGCAATCTTTACAAAATTTCTTTTTTGATCCTTGACATAATGCAGTCAAATTGTTTGAATGATTTTAATCAGCATTGAGTCCTCTATCGAAATTGTGAAATTCATGGCCTAGGGATCAGGGGCTCTAGTGAATGGGGGTAAATAGATTATATAGTGAAAATGCATTCTTTCTTTGAAAATCTTCTCCTCTGCTCCTGGGCATTGGATAAACTAACTAAGTACAAAGTTATGATGAGCAAGAGTGCCTCTGCCAAAATTTTGAATTTTATGGCCCCAGGGTGAGGGATTCTGGTGTTAGGGTGGGGCTCTATTGATTATATTCGTTGCCCCTCCCCCTCTGGGTCCTGGGAATGTGGCAAAACACCATGAATAAAGCAATTTTTAAAAATCTTCTTCCTAACTCCTGGACGTCAAGCAGTCAAACTGTTGGAATGATTGTAATAAACATTGAGTCCTCTACCATAATTTAGAAATTCATGGCCCAAGGGTCAGGTGTTCTAATGCTAGAGCGGGACTACATAGTTAATATAGTAGTTAGTGTAGATTCATGTATGCATAGATTCAAGTTTGTTCAAATCATCCCCTCTTTTTCAGGAAAGTGACCACTTACGCATCATCTACTGAATAGAGTTTTCCTAGCCACAGTGCTCAGATTAGCGATGTGGCCTATGGACCTCTTGTTTGTGTTCCCTTACTCTGTCTATGGATTTTACGTAATCAAACTTTAAATGTTAAGTTTATAGTAATGATGTGCAACGATGATCCAAATTTAATTGTTTGAAAATGGTTGCATAATGGTTAGGTGACTTATAAGGCCCATAGACCCCTTGTTTTAACATCTAATCCTTTTTTTGAATTTGCAGTCAACTTGTGATAAGATCAGGTATTACAATAAATCATTATTTTGATGTTGCATGACTTCCGTTATGGTATTTAAGTAAAGTTTTTGCGTTAAAGGTATAGGGTTTTTTTTTATTATTTTAGGAGCGAAATGCTTCAATTATTATTTTGTTTAATATCCTATACTAGCTTTGATTCTGACTATCGCTGAGAATTTAAGTTTTAGTATTTTTAGGTCACCTGAGTATCTTAAGTGACTTATTGCTATCTGTTTTTGTCCGTCGTCGTCCGTCGTGTGTTAAACTTTGAACATTTTCAGCTTCTAATCTTCTCTGAAACCACTGAACCAATTTCAACCAAATATTGAATACAGCATTTATGGGTGAAGGAGGAAAAACTTGTGTATTTTATGGTCCCCGTCCCCTAAGGGGTGGGGCCAAAACCACCAAAATTATTGCAATCTTTAAAAATATTCTTGTTTACTTCTGGACGTCAAGCAGGCAAACTGTTGGCTTGGATGTAATGAGCATTGAGTCCTCTACCAAAATTGTGAAATTCATGGCCCCAGGCAAGGGTTTTTTTTGTGCTAGGGCGGGGTTTTATAGATTATATGGTGAAAATGCATTATTTCTTCGAAAATCTTCTTCTCTGCTCTTGGATATTAAGTAAACTAACTAAGTACATAGTTATGTTGAGCAAGAGAGCCTCTTCCAAAATTGTGAATTTTATGGCCCCTGAGTTGGAAAAGCTTAAACGTATGTGGAAGCATCCTGGGTTTTTGCAAATTTTAGTGTAGATTGTTCAGATCATAACCCTCGGGGTTTGGGCGGCGCCACAATAAGAAATCAAAGTTTAACATAGAAATATATAGAAAAACAAGATGTGTTTGTGAAACACTGATGGCCCCGTATGGCAACATACACTGTAGCAAAGATTAAACTTTTTATACAGGGTATTCTCATCTGAAATACAATTGTGAAAAATGAAAGTAGGCCAAGGTTGAAGTTTCATAAGTATGGAAATCTTCAAGGTCATCGTTATCCAATGAAAGTTCTTGCCACAAAAACGTACATATTTATCGTATGGAAGCCCTAGCTTTAACCATTCAAAAGTTACGGCAAAGATTAAAAATACTATTGAGGTCAAATGCCAACCTCAAGGCCGAAGGCCTTGCTATCAAATGAAAGATCTTATCAAAAGGATCGAAGTTTGAAAGCACTATCCCAAACCCTTTAAAAGTAACGGTCAAGGTTTGTTAAAAGGTCAAACTCAATGTCAAAGGGTCGAACTATTTGGTATTCAACGAAGGGTCTTCTCACAAAGACTTCATAAGTTAAGTATGAGATCACTACCCCTTTTTATCATAAGTACAAAAATCTCTAATGTCAAGGTACTTGGTCTCTAATGAAAGGTCTTGCCACATAAAATACATATTCAAAGCTTGTAACCCGATCCTAAACCGTTCAGAAGTTATGCCAAGGTTAAAAGAAGATGGGCGCATTTGGCGAGTAATCTACAGGAATCATTTGTACGAAACAGTTATGGTTTAAATGTCCATGATTTGGTTGGCTGAACAAAGCTGGTCAGATTTTTCAATCACGTCCATAGTTTTTTTATTTAGTTTGAATATCCGTTTTTCCTGGGGGTACTGTAACATATTAATGTTTCAAAAAATAACACCTAAAATATTTAATGCATAGATGCATGATGCATGTACATTGTAGAATTGAAGATAAGATTCTGAATTGATTTCGCTCGAGAACCAAACTTAACCGAAATTTATCTAATTCAAAATTTTACTATACAAGTACATTAAATGAAACTGACAAAATTAATGGTTGTTTGCATGAAAAAGAAAAATAACGCCCCATGCCAGGCTCGAACCAAAAACTTTTCGCTTCAAGTGTAGTGAACAGGTAACCCAACTTACTGAGCTATCACCGCTAAACGTATACTAATAATTATAAAAGGACAAAGAAGCGCCACATTCATACATTTGGATTTGTTTTGGGAAACGTTAATATTTCGGGGTCTCTGGGTCATCTCTCTCCATTTTTTAACAAAGTGTATTGGTTTCTTTGAATTTAAATACACACGAATAACGTTTCAAAATCATTGAGAGAAGACCCAGAGATAGAAAAAAAAATTTTAAAAAGTGTCTTAAAATGTACATTTTTGTACCAAATGTCTGATCTGGCTAATTTTCAAGTTATTTTTTAGTTAATCCGAGCTCAATTTCAGGAAAATATTTAAATAAAAAAAATGTTAAAATTTCATGTGACATGTCGTTAAAATTTTACACTTTTCAAGTACGCCCAGATTCCAGCCGAATGCCCATCAAAAGCGCCGACGTTCTTTTTTAAAAATTTTTGGTCTAACTCCAACGTCAAGGTCAAATGGTTAAAGTTCTAAATGAAGGGTCTTGACACAAGGATTAAATATATTAAGTCTGTAAGCACTAGCCCTAACCCTTTAAAAGTTATGGTCAATGTTTGCTGTTTAAAATTAGGTAAAATTCCAAGGTCAAAGGGTCAAAGTTCTTGGTATCCAATGAAAGCCCAATCCCTTACCGTTCAAAAGTTATGGCCAAGGTTAAAGTTTTTTCACAAGTAGAGAAATCACCGAGGTCAAAGTTTAAAGGTCAAGGTTGTAAGTATTCAATGAATGGTCTCCCAAAAAAGAATACATATGTGAAGTATAATACTGTTCAAAAGATATGGCCAAAGTAAAAGTTTAGAATTTATTTGTAAAAATTGGTCAAACTCCAACGCCAAGGTCAAAGGACAAGATAGGGTAAGACCAGTATTTGGCCCCCGATTTTGGGTGTCTTTCAGAATGATCCAACAGTTTATCCATGAAAACCTGTTTTCATCCCTGCCACAAAATGAGTACTGGTTTTAAGATTAAGAATATACAGAGGTCACAGTGAGGTCAGGAAATTGGTCAATTTTCGAAATTTCTCATTTTTATGCAAATTTTCACTAATTTTACAGCACATTTTCTTTCGGAAAACATAGAGCACACGCTTGCCTATCTACCAAATTTATATATTTTATACACTGATATCAGATGCAGTATATGTGTAAAAATCACAGATAGGCAAGCGTGTGCTCTATGTTTTCCGAAGAGAAATGTACCCAAAATATGATGAAAATCCACCAGAATTGAGGAAATTCGGGAAAATGTCCTATTTCTGAACCCTCTAGTGGCTTCCATGTAGCCTTTGAATCAAAATTAGTGCTTGTCTTAAAGTAAGCATCATTTTAACTTCTTAACTACAAACTATCACAGTTTTATCAGTGTTCTGATTTTTAAATAAAAAATTCGGCTGTTACCCTATCTTGTCCTTTGGTGGTAGACATTAAAATGTCTTGTCACAAGGAATGCACTTGTGCAATATGAAAGGCCTAGCTTCTCTAAATTAAAAGTTATTGGCAAGATTTAAGTTTTTGCAGATAAACAGAGAGACAGACTGGGGCATAAAAATTAAAAATCCTCTTCTCAAAAACCACTGGGCCAGGAAAATGAAACTTATATGGGAGCATCCTGGGTAGTGTACATTCTTAATTGTTAAAATTGTAAACCCAGTGTTTTGTAAATTGTGTTGCCATACCAACTAACACTAAAAATCTGAAATATTTTCAAACCGCATCTCCACCTACAATGTAAGTAGATTGCAAAAAAGGTTTCCACAAAAGACTGAAACCAAGAATTATTGTTCTAGTTATTGCTCCTCAAAATTTCATTTTATGTCCAAATGCTACTTATTATAACTTTTCTCTTTTGTTGTCTAAAGTATAGACCGACATTTTCGTCAAAGACCTCTAGTGGTAAAAAATACTATGTCAATTAAAACAAGAGGCCCATGGGCCACATCGCTCACCTGAGAACCTTTGACCATTCTGTTCTTTACCAGATTTCACCCTTGTTATACATAATGCATCTCCACTGATCATATAAATTTAGACATTTTGAAATCTACACCATGATCCTTCCATGGGGACATATGTTTCAACTTAACTGGCCCAGTGGTTCCTGAGAAGAAGATTTTCAAAGATTTTTCCAATATATTTCTATGTTAAAATTTGATTCCCTATAATGGCCGCGCCTTTCCCCTGGGGGTCATGATTCCTACAATTTAGAATTTACACTACCCAAGAATGCTTCCACATAAGCTTCACTTTTTCTGGCCCAGTGGTTCTTCAGAAGAAAATTTTCAAAGATTTTTCCTATATATTTCTATATAAAAATTTTGATTCCCCATTGTGGCCCCGCCCTTCCCCTGGGTGTCATTATTTGAACAATTTAGAATCTACATTATACCAGGATGCTTCCACATAAGTTTCAGCTTTTCTGGCCCAGTGGTTCTTGAGAAGAAGATTTACAAAGATTTTTCCTATATATTTCTATGTAAAAATTTGATACCCCATTCTGACCCCGCCCATCCCCTGGGGGTCATGATTTGAACAATTTAGAATCTACACTATACCAGGATGCTTCCACATAAGTTTCAGCTTTTCTGGCCCAGTGATTCTTGAGAAGAAGATTTTCAAAGATTTCTCCTATATATTTCTATATAAAACTTTGATTCCACATTGTGGCCCCACCCATCCCCCGGGGGTCATTATTTGAACAATTTAGAATCTACACTATACCAGGAGGCTTCCACATAAGTTTCAGCTTTTCTGGCGCAGTGGTTCTTGAGAAGAAGATTTTCAAAGATTTTTCCTATATATTTCTATGTAAAACTTTGATTCCCCATTGTGGCCCCGCCCTTCCCCAGGGGGTCATTATTTGAACAATTTAGAATTTACATTATACCAGGATGCTTCCACATAAGTTTCAGCTTTTCTGGCCCAGTGGTTCTTGAGAAGAAGATTTACAAAGATTTTTCCTATATATTTCTATGTAAAAATTTGATACCCCATTCTGACCCCGCCCTTCCCCAGGGGGTCATGATTTGAACAATATAGAATCTACACTATACCAGGAGGCTTCCACATAAGTTTCAGCTTTTCTGGCCCAGTGGTTCTTGAGAAGAAGATTTACAAAGATTTTTCCTATATATTTCTATGTAAAAATTTGATACCCCATTCTGACCCCGCCCATCCCCTGGGGGTCATGATTTGAACAATATAGAATCTACACTATACCAGGAGGCTTCCACATAAGTTTCAGCTTTTCTGGCCCAGTGATTCTTGAGAAGAAGATTTTCAAAGATTTTTCCTATATATTTCTATGTAAAAATTGGTTCCCCATTGTGACCCTGCCCTTCCCCAGGGGGTCATTATTTGAACAATTTAGAATCTACACTATACCAGGATGCTTCCACATAAGTTTCAGCTTTTCTGGCCCAGTGGATCTTGAGAAGACTTAAAGATTTTTTCTATATATTTATATGTAAAACTTTGTTTCCCTATTGTGGCCCTGCACAACCCCGGGGGGTCATTATTTGAACAATATAGAATCTACACTATACCAGGATGCTTCCATAAAATTTTCAGCTTTTCTGGCCCAGTGGTTCTTGAGAAGATTTTAAAAGATTTTTCCTATATATTTCTATATAAAACTTTGATTCCCCATTGTGGCCCCGCCCTTCCCCCGGGGGTCATGATTTGAACAATTTAGAATCTACACTACCCCAGGATGCTTCCACATAAGTTTCAGATTTACTGGCCCAGTGGTTCTTGAGAAGAAGATTTTTTAATGACCCCACCCTATTTTTGTCTTTTCTTGATTATCTCCCCTTGCGAGGGGATATGTCCCTTTATTTTAACAATTTAAATTCCCCTTTACCCAAGGTTGCTTTGTACCAAGTTTGGTCAAAATCGGCCCAGTGGTTCTTGAGAAGAAGATTTTTTAATGACCCAACCTACGGACAGACAGACAGACGGACGGACGACGGACAAAATGTGATCAGAAAAGCTCACTTGAGCCTTCGGCTCAGGTGAGCTAAAAACTGAATGAAAAATCAACGGAGTTTTGAAAATGTACTTTGCAGTGACAATGTAGGAATTAGGTACAATGTAGAGTGTGTGGAAGGGAGGGGGATTCTCATTGGAGCACGTGTGAAATCGAGGAAAGGTCCAAAAATTGAAGGTAATACTTATTCTTAAATTTACATATATTTTTAACACTGTAGATATAATGTATCATATTTCTTACATCCATGCCAACGTATTCAAAAATCATAAAGTTTTTTTCTGTGAAAGTTCTAACTACAATAACAACGAAAAAACATTAAAATGCATAGTTTTTTTCAAAATTCTTCTTGTTCCTTGTATAACTTAAGAGTTCATATAATTGCTTTTGCGACTCTCATAATTTCTAATTTTGTGGTTTACTCCATAGGGACATTTCTTCCGGATTGTTACATTTAAAATAAATAAATGAATTAATTAAAATACACTTTAAATTCTTAAAATAAAATGCTTCTGACGCTTTCAATCAAGTAAAAAAAAACATGTTTAAAAAAGACATATTAAAAAATGTATACATATACTTGACAAGGGACGAAAGCTGTCAATTTTGGAAAATACTCTGGTTAGCTACAGCACATAGTTTTACTTAGTAAGCCCCCATTTGAAGAAGGGAGGGCATATTGCAATTGCTTTGCTGCTGTCTTTTTGACTTCAGTTTTGGGGAAAGGACAAAAGTGTTTGACAAACATCTCTTGTTAAACATTTGTTATGTAATGCATGATTTTTGCATCCCTGATATGAACACAGGCACGCACTCTGTATTACCTAACCTGTATCAGCACCCTTTATTACACATTTCCAGAATGTCTCTGTACTTTGCATACGGAATACTGTTTGCTATCACATCCAATATTCTTTTTTCATTTGAAATAATATGTCGATCCAAGGTGTTGTTTGAGCTTCCCAGAGATTCTCTACTTTGTTATAATTGTGTTGTTTTTTTGTTGTTGTAAGGGGGGGGAATTTTATTCTTAACCTATTTAATGTGGGAGTTAAGTATTGTATCTACCTAGTACTCCAAGAACTTCAGGTTGATTGTGATCTTTGGATCAAAGGTTAAGGTCATAAAGACCAACACCTCTTTACCCTCTCTCCTGCAAACCGAAATTAATATTGAAACATGTTTCTAGATACATGCACTTCATATATCTTTTTCCTTTTGGGTTTAGCTGAGGGGTTAAGGTCGATTTCAAGAGCATAGGTCGAGGTCATTTTTTTAACCAGCTAATATCAACATTTTAAAAAGGTTTCCAATGACCTTGACTTAAGTTACTTGACATTGAAAAGTTGTTTTTTTTCTGCATGAACATCTAAACATCTGGTATACGGGATACGGGTCGTTTAACGCGAGCGCGCATGTGCATGCATGCCCTGACATTTAATTATATTATATATTGCAGGAACAGTGATCGATATGGAAGATAGCATACCGCTATATAATTGCGACGCAAAAGTCATCTGGGAAGGTGGACCTACTAGAAGATGCAGAGTTGGAAGACATGGAGAAGTGGACATAAAGTTTATAGTACCGGCAGAAGTACCTTACATTGAAGACCATTTACAAAAAATCACTGAAGGTATTAGTGTCGTTCAACCAGACACTCAGCTTCTACGTTAATCAGAGAGTCTGGTAAAGAATCACGGTAGCGTTTGGAACAATCAGAGGGCTCTATCTTGTTTTCATTATGAAGATCCTTTTGAAAACAAATCTTATATATATTTTTTCTTCTAGATTGTGACTTTATATTAACATACTGGTCTTTAATATGGGTCACCAAACTAGAAATTACAATATCAAGCAAAGGAATGTGTATTATGCAAGTAGGGCTACACTACTTTCACTTTTGCTTTCGTACAGAATATTTGCAAGACATTATAAAACACAATTACCTATAACTTGTGGGCACAATCTCATGCCATATTCTTTCCTGATTTATCACAGTCATTTATTTAACTAATATTTAAGTTAGTTTCAAAACTTTTTGATGTCATTACATTTTTCGGGCGCAATAAAGCTAAAACCGTACCTTCTTCTTTCACTTGTATAGTTATCTAGCAAAACGTTTTTAATTAGTACAGAATTATTTATAACTGTCCGAAATCCCGTAATTATACATTAAACAGCTTAACTTTGTACAGTAAAATGATTGTTAGATTATAGTGTAAAGACCTTTTATTAATTAAAATATGGTGTGTAGATTTGAAAAAAAATCATGAACTGTGCATTTGTTACAATAGCTACACAGTTTATATTTCATCTTTACAGACACTGCAGTTGTAGGGCTAAGAGTTTTGAAAAAAACAGACGACGAGCGATCAACAGTTGGCACAATCATTGCAATAAAGGTATGTTGGGGGGAAATGTCATTTGCACATTCATTGCCGGCTAGTTACATTTTTTCTACAAGTTGAAAGGGGACAGTCGGAAAACGATTAACTCTAATTTAATGTCTGGCTGCGGGAAGCACATATATGTCCTTTTACCGCTGGCAGCAGCAGGTACATATATGTCTCCGTCATAAAGTTTGAGACGTCTGATTACTCCCTTAATTGAAATTAATAATATTGTATTAAAAAAATTTTTTGCACTTTTTGTTAAATTAAAATATTTAAGAATTTTGAAAGAATGGTTAAGGTGGCTCATTACATCCACAGTTTATTTTAGATTTCAATACAGCACCACTTATAATGTAGATGTCAAATATCCAGATGGGGGTATTGATATCAAAAATATTTTTTAGCTCACCTGAGCCGAAGGCTCAAGTGAGCTTTTCTGATCACATTTTGTCCGTCGTCCGTCCGTCTGTCTGTCTGTCCGTCAGTCTGTCCGTCTGTCTGTCCGTCTGTAAACTTTTCACATTTTCGACTTCTTCTCAAGAACCACTGGGCCAATTTTGACCAACCTTGGTACAAAGCATCCTTGGGTGAAGGAAAATTTAAATTGTTAAAATGAAGGGACATATCCCCTCGCAAGGGGAGATAATCAAGAAAAGACAAAAATAGGGTTGGGTCATTAAAAAATCTTCTTCTCAAGAACCACTGGGCCAGTAAAACTGAAACTTATGTGGAAGCATCCTGGGGTAGTGTAGATTCTAAATTGTTCAAATCATGACCCCCGGAGGAAGGGCGGGGCCACAATGGGGAATCAAAGTTTTATGTAGAAATATATAGGAAAAATCTTTGAAAATCTTCTTCTCAAGAACCACTGGGCCAGAAAAGCTGAAACTTATGTGGAAGCATCCTGGTATACTGTAAATTCTAAATTGTTTAAATAATGACCCCCGGGGGAAGGGCGGGGCCACAATGGGGAATCAAAGTTTTACATAGAAATATATAGGAAAAATCTTTGAAAATCTTCTCAAGAACCACTGGGCCAGAAAAAGTGAAGCTTATGTGGAAGGATCCTGGTATGATGTAGATTCTAAATTGTTCAAATAATGGCCCCCAGGGGAAGGGCGGGGCCACAATGGGGAATCAAAGTTTTATATAGAAATATATATAGGAAAAATCTTTGAAAATCTTCTTCTCAAAAACCACTGGGCCAGAAAAGTTGAAACTTATGTGGAAGCATCCTGGTATAATGTAGATTCTAAATTTTTCAAATAATGACCCCCGGGGGAAGGGTGGGGCAACAATGGGGAATCAAAGTTTTATATAGAAATATATAGGAAAATTCTTTGAAAATCTTCTTCTCAAGAACCACTGGGCCAGAAAAGTTGAAACTTATGTGGAAGCATTCTGGGGTATTGTAAATTCTAAATTGTAGGAATCATGACCCCCGGGAGAAGGGCGGGGCCATTATAAGGAATCAAAGTTTTACATAGAAATATATAGGAAAAATCTTTGAAACTTTTCTTCTCAGGAACCACTTGGCCAAAAAAGCTGAAACTTATGTGGAAGCATCCTGGTATAATTTAGATTCTAAATTGTTCAAATCATGACCCCCGGGGGAAGGGCGGGGCCACAATGGGGAATCAAAGTTTTATATAGAAATATATAGGAAAAATCTTTGAAAATCTTCTTCTCAGGAACCACTGGGCCAAAAAAGCTGAAACGTATGTGGAAGCATCCTGGTATAATGTAGATTCTAATTGTTCAAATAATGACCCCCGGGGGAAAAGCGGGGCCACAATGGGGAATCAAAGTTTTATATAGAAATATATAGGAAAAATCTTTGAAAATCTTCTTCTCAAGAACCACTGGGCCAGAAAAAGTGAAGCTTATGTGGAAGCATTCTGGGTTAGTGTAAATTCTAAATAGGAATCATGACCTCCGGGGGAAGGGCGGGGCCATTATATGGAATCAAAGTTTTACATAGAAATATATAGGAAAAATCTTTGAAAATCTTCTTCTCGGGAACCACTGGGCTAAAAAAGCTGACACATGTGCCCATGGAAGGATCATGGGGTAGTGTAGATTTCAAAGTGTCTAAATCATGATCAGTGGGGTAGGGTGGGTATGCATTATGTATAACAAGGGGGAAATCTGGTAAAGAACAGAATCAAAGCTTCTCAGATGAGCGATGTGGCCCATGGGCCTCTTGTTATAGAATTTTTTAGCTTTTATTTTATTTTAGTGAAATTTTTTTTTTCAGGTTTATTATTCACAGAATTTCAAAACTTTCAGTGTCAAATGATGGGCATCTTCTTAAGACAAGTACATAGAGTGAAAATACCTCCTAATACCTAATAACAATTTTATTACAAAAAAATAATTTTCTCCTAGAAAACAATTAATGTCATTATCTTTTTAATCTATGCATAAAGCATTTAAAAAAATGTGTTCTGAAGAGACAAGGAATGTATTTCAATGAATTACATGTGTCAAATTGAATGAAGAAAGTTTAAACGAAATGAACAAGAGGCCCACGGGCCTTATAAGTCACCTGTGCATCATGCAACAACTTTCAAATGATTGAATTTGTTTCATGTTTTAAGCTAGATGCTAAGGCATTCACAATTTTGGAAGAGGCACTCTTGCTCAACATAACTATATACTTAGTTAGTTTATTTAAAACCTAGGAGCAGAGAAAAAGATTTTCAAAGATTTAATGCATTTTCACTATATAATCAATAGAGCCCCGCCCTAACACCAGAACCCCTGACCCTGGGGCCATAAAATTCACAATTTTGGTAGAGGCACTCTTGCTCATTATAACTATGTACTTTAAGTTTAGTTTATTTAAAACCTAGGAGCAGAGAAGATTTTCAAAGATTTAATGCATTTTCACTATATAATCAATATAGAGCCCCGCCCTAACACCAGAACCCCTGACCCTGGGGCCATGAATTTCACAATTTTGGTAGAAGCACTCTTGCTCATCATAATTATTTACTGAATAAGTGAATTTAATACCTAGGAGCAGAGAAGATTTTCAAAGATTTGATGCATTTTGATTATATAATCAATATAGAGCCCCGCCCTAACACCAGAACCCCTGACCCTGGGGCCATAAAATTCACAATTTATGAAGAGACACTCTTGCTCATCATAACTATGTGCTTAATTAGTTTATTCAATACTCAGGAACAGAGAAGAAGATTTTTAAAAACTTACTGCATTTTCACTATATAATCAATAGAGCCCCGCCCTAACACCAGAACCCCTGACCCTGGGACCATGAATTTCACAATTTTGTTAGAGGACTCAATGCTGATTACAATCATACCAACAGTTTGACTGCTTGATGTCTGGGAGTAAAGAAGAAGATTTTTAAAGATTGCACTATTTTAGTGGTTTTTGCCCCACCCCCAGGTCCCAGGGGGGCGGGGACCACGAAATTCACAATTTTTGTTCCCCTTCACCCATAGATGCTATATGCCAAATTTGGTTGAAATTGGTTCATAGGTTTCAGAGAAGAAGCTGAAAATGTTTAAATGTTAACGCACAACGGACGACGGACGACGACGGACAAAAACGGATAGCAATAGGTCACCTGAGTTTACTCAAGTGACCTAAAAATTCAATTTAAAAAATATTTGGTACTCAAAACACTATGGAACGTTTGACATTACATCTAAAATTCAGAATAAAGCTTTAAATTGCCAGAGTATACATTAAAATCAATAAAACAAATACATTATATAAATAACACAGTAAATAGCGCAATTAAATAAAATCTTAATTTCATCAAGGTTGTAGATTTTGACTCGAATTTCCTCCATACAAACATGTCAGTGATTGATAGAGTTCACTGCATGCATGGCTATGAAAATGACATTACTTGATTGGCGAAGATTTGACTGTTGCTTTCTTTTGTTTCTGCCTAAAAGAAATTCTTCTTGGTTTATGCTTAATGAATCCGTTACTTTGTTTTCACAGAGACTCTGGTTTTCACTGTTTACATAGCCTTTCCACATAAAATTGTAAAACCTGAAAAAAAAACAATATTTAACATTTTCAAATATCTTTCTACTAATATAACTTAAGACTGCATTGAATTTTGATATATTCAGAGTGAGAAAGAAGAAATTATAAATAATTGAAAACTACATTTTAATCTTTTAATGAAACAGTTGTTCAAAGAGGGAGGTAATCCAATTACAAATATAAGACTGTAATTTCAAAGAAAGATAATTCATTTTTATGAAAGATAACTCTAAAAAATCAATAAACCTTATAGTCTTTTTCAAGAATTTGTGTAGCAATGATCCAACTGTGTACTGTCTGAAAATTAAATAAATACTCATTTTAATGACTAAATATTCTTAGGTTACATAGTTATAATGAAATATTAGGACAATTTTAATCCAAGTAATTAATTACATCCCCCCAAAAAGCAGTGTATTCAAATAGGAAATGTAAAATGCACTTACTAAGGATAAACAAATTTCCGTCCTTCAAATCTGTATAAAATTCCTGTTCTGTTAATTCATAAACATCATCGTCCTTCTCACAACCATCCAGCCAATACTGCACCTGTTGTAATATATTTGAATAAGTCAGTTATGTTCATAATGAGGCAAAATATATTAAAATCTACTTTACTTAAAGACACAGACATGTAACACAAAGTAAGACATTACAAATACAAGACATACATATATAATTGACTTTAAGATAAAATGCTTTAATTTCTTAAATATTTAAAGTATACTATATTGCTAAAATTTTAACCACCTCACACCACTGGAATGTTATACTTCATTGTAACAAATTGTGATGGGTTTTGAAAGGAATAGTTTGAAATAAGAAGAAATTTTACCTATGTGGAGTTTGAAACAATACAAGAATAAAAACGTGTTACTTATTTTCTATTCAAAATTCTATACACAAAATGATTTTTTTATTTACTTCTCAAATAAAGTGTACCAAATGTTTAAGTACTGTTTATCACTCCATAGTCCATACCCCTTTTTAAAAACACATTCAATAAGTTAAAAGTATTTTAGAGAAAATAATGTAGGTGATAGGAAGAAAATTATTACATACTATGCCATATATTAAAAATATATATTTGCTATTTGCCCTCTACAGGCTTACTGACTTAAAACTTTACATTTTTTTTTTGGTATTTCCCTCATCAATTAAATATATATATATTTTTAAAATATGGCCCTAGTAATCAGTAAATCAGGTATACTAAAATTCATTCACTCAAGGTCTTGTAATGTTTACAAAGTCAAGTCAAATGAAAAATTATATTTAAGATATGCATTCTTCTTTTTCCTTTTTTGATTGAATTAAATTGAATATTGTCTTAGAAATATAAATAATTCATGAAGAAAAACTTAAATAACTTGACACAGTAAACAAAACTATCATTTATGAACTCAATACATATCTTATAAAGGTTTGGGGATGTGAAATTGTTACAGTGCAGTGTTTTCCCTAAGAACCAGCAGCCAGCCAAATTGACCGCTTTGACTGATAAAAATGCTGCCTGCAAATCAAACTTTGTTGTAAGGTTAACATAGCCTTAGCCTGTAACAACTCATCTTTAACCCATTACTTTAAAATAAAGGGAAAACACTGTCAGTGATTTACAAAATTTTCATTGTGTGATTTACTTACATGCAAACACACTATACCACTTTAAAAAGAGTTTAGTGTGAACTTCATATTAAAATGCTTAATACTGAAGTAATCATAAATTACTTTGAATATTCCATTGTCATAACCAACAATTTCACCATTCCATTCTATATTTTCATATTCATCGTTTGTCCAGGTATGAATGATTTTTTTCCTAACTAGTGTAGATGGAATCACTTCCCGTTGGGTCCCTTCCCTTTTTAGCTTTATGATGGTTTTCAAGTTTTCAATTAATTTTTCAATTGTAAAAAGTTTTCCTTTTTCCGAAAATTTTGTCAATCCTTTATGTTGTTTTTCTAGAGGAAATATTGTTTTGTACAAGTTCAACTGCTTCTTCACCGCTGTAATTTTATCATTTTTCTTCTTTATATGTTGTAAACTGCTGTCAACCTTGCTTTCCGTGTCCCATAATCCATCGTCTGATATCGAATCTACTGCTTTTGTCAATTTTTCCTCTTTTCTTTCTTTCATTGCTTTTACATTTTCTTGTCTTTCTCTGATAATTTTCAGATGATTTTGAAATAACAATTTCTTTTCCAACTTATTCTTACACAAAACTTCCCTCCCTTCCTTCCTAATATTTCCTAAAAGCTCTTTCTTCTCTGACACTGTCTTTTCTTTTAACCACTCACTTGTCTTATTTTCACTAAATAAAATAAGGTTCTCTACACTAAAAACACTAGACGTTGGCGTATCCATCATTTTCTTGTCCAACCTGCCCATTAGTCTTTCTACAGTAATATTATTTGTGCCACAACTATTACATTTATTTACAACATCTTCAGATGGATTAAAATATTTTCCAGTTTCTTCAATAAAAGGACTAAACAGTGACAATGACTTGGTTTTTAAAGATACACAAAACTTTTTCAATATCGAACATGTTACATCATTGTAAAAATCATCATATAAAACCTCCTCAAATTCATCAGTTGGAAGAAAAGGACCATAAAACAGAGAAATTTTTCTTGATAAAAGTAAAAAAGGTTCTTGTATACACAGATCTAAAAATTGAACAACTCTTCTGTACACGCTACCCATAGACAAAGCAGTGGGTAGCTCTTCCGCCTTGGACCAATAAGGTTCAGAAAATGAATTGCATATAATACCAAGTGCTCTTAAAATACATAAAATATGATTGTTTTGTAAGCCACACACGATAAAATCAGTACAAGAATTCAAAGAACTTTTTGTGGATAACAAATACTGTAAAATATGCTTTCTCATACAAAAAATTCCTACAGCATTATAAAACAAAACATTAAATCTATTCCCTTTGACTTTCACCACAGGTACTTTGTCAAAACCTTGTTCTTTTACATAGGTTGCTGTTAAAAAGGGATCACCTGTTCCATCTTTAAAAAAAAGTTTGGATACACATGAAATGAGATAAAAGGTGTAAGATTCCTTACTTCGACAAGATACATTGTTAAAAGAAACATTTACATCTTTTTCAAAATTTAAAACTTCTTTCAAACACTGATCTGAAAACTGTAAAAGCGCATGTACAGAGCATTTAAAAGAATAAAAGTCCTTGTCACAATTAAAATCATCCCTGCATTTTTTCATTAAAATACTGTTAACTTTCTCTTCCGTAACACTACGGTCTGTCATAAAACTGGAAATCTTATTTAAAATGTCACAAGACTGACCATCAGTTATTTCATTTAAAATATTTAAAGTAGTTTGGACGTAAGTGTCAGCCTTGCCGTCACTTACTTCTTTTAAACCAGCAGTAAAAATATTATTATTTGTGGCTATTTTCAAACCATAAAAATGTCTTCCTTTTTTTGTGGTAGCATCTCTATGCATAGTTAAATTTTCTGTATTTAAAAAATTTTCTTTTAACTGTTTTTTACATAAAATACCCATTTCATTGCTAAAAATTGCATTAGTACTCTTAGATGGCAGTTCTTTCACTTTAAAATTCACTAAAGATAAAACAGCATTAACTACTGGTTCGACATGTTCGATACCAATGTTATGAGTTCTAAAAAAATATATAAGTTCCCTAATCCTATGATCAAATGGTCTACCTCTGGTATTTTCCCTAAAATCTAAAACTTTAACTGTGTCACACCCTTCCTGTTCTTCCTCTTTTTCACAACGTAAAATATCAAGTTCTTTTTGTAAATCATTTAAAATAACATTTAAAGAGTTGCACTGAACACTTTTGTCTCTCAGTACACATACTTCTTTGTCTTTTTTTCGGTCTATCTTCTCTTCTTTTTTCATTTTTCTTGAAACATGTAATTTTGATCGCAGATTTTTAATAATTCGGTCTTTCCTTTGTATGGCTTGTTCATATCTCCTACTTTTAATTTTCTTTAGCTGGTCTTTCAATAGTAACACTTTCTTTTGTAACTGAATAATTTGAATACTATGGTCTATTGGTGCTGGTGGTGGTTGTGGTGGTGGCAGTGAGGGTGGTTCAGCTCTAGATGTCACTTTCACTGGTACACTAAATGTACTTCTTAAAAAATGTTCACATTCACAGTTTTTTTTCCCTTTCAGCTGTTGAATCTTTGCTTTATTTCTTTTGATTTTAACATAAAGTGATTTCTTGTCAATTTCTTCTCGACTTTTACCCAGAACTCTGCATATATCACTGTGAATTGAATTGATGTTCCCTTTGCATCTTTCATATATTTCGACCACTAATTTGTTGGTTAGGGACATTTTGGTTATGATAAGTTAGTTTTAACAAATATATTTACCCTATATACACATATACTATGTTGGCTGTTTTGAAAGAAATGATGATATTGCATGTTAGTAAAACGAGACAAACACTAGACGATGGACACACATCACACACATATATAATTCATACTGATAGTGTCGCCTGCATTGGTATTATTTTTATTTCAGACTGACAGATGGACAAGTGCCATAATAAGTGATCCCTCTGTATTATTTAATAAATACATACCTTAAAAGCTCAACTGAATAAATCTTTTTTTTTTTGTTTTTTTTCTTTTCTTTTCTTTTTTCAATGTCTTTAGGAAAAATCCTCAATGAAGAAAAACCAAATATGAATCTGAAAATAAAATTCATAATATATATTTAATTATTTATCATATTTGAAAAAAAAATTGTCATTAATAATTTCAAAGAATTGTAATAAATTCTTACATTTTATATGTGGCAAACTTTATAATTGTTCTTCTAAATATTGTAAAGAAATTACCCTTGAGTTTTCCAACAAGGGGTATGTACAGGAATAAACAAACAAGCGAAAGAATATTTACACACAGTCTCTGGCTAGGTAATCACTGAAATCTGGAAGAAAAAAATTTTTAGTAATTGTTGCAAATAATTGTATGGAAGCATTGACATTTTATGAAATTCTATTTACCTTGATTATCCAGGAAAGTTTATTTACACTTCATAAAGCATCCCAATATAACTGGTGAAATTTGTCTGAAAAAGATATATAAATCACTTTTTTCTTATGATATATTGAAAAAGACTATGATGAAAGGGAGGTAACTCAATTATTAGAATGGTTGAAACTATTGGGAGGCATAAAAGTAATTGAATAAATTAAACTCTAACTTGATTTTTCGCAAATATGTATTTTAATATCTTAAATTTACATATAACAGTTAATCATTGAAGGAAACTATGAGTGTGCCCTCGTGTTGCCATTATAATATCAATTTTCCATGTCACATTACTGAGGCATTAATCTTTAAAAAATCAGCAAGAGAAAGCCATAGCTTCCAAAATTTCAGTAATCGTACATATTGTAGCAGTATGTCTACCGCTTACGAAAATGTGTGAAACTTGAGCGTACCCTATCATTATCCTCCAAAAAAAAAAATTATTCATATTTTCATTACGCCCGTGTACATAATAAAATACCATTATTCGTGCTTTACGCGATTTTCCAAGAACAAAACACTGTATAAAAGATGATATATACTCAAAACTTACCAGCATTACTCAATTTTTGTTATGTCAAAGTCCTATCTTATTTTATATAATTTATAACAAAAAATACTTACTTACTCCGAGCTATATGAAGTCAACATGGCCGACTCCGAACAGTTCTGCAATAGATTAGAGTTATCGTTCTTGGCAAAGATGGCGTTATCTGGAAAGGCTAGTTTACAACGCCGCATGTTTCATTTATTTTTAAAGCGTTTTAAAGGTCAGGGTCATATTATAGAGGTAACTTTACAACTCGTCCCCTGAGCAAACCGGTCGACACAAATGGAAGTTTATTTTTTTGTGTAGTACGTCATCAAAAAGTGGTGCAATGAGCCTCCTTAATTTTTTTTAATTATTCATGTATTTCTTTATGAATTGATTTGCAAGTTTAAAATTTCAAACGAAATACTTTTTCGCATTTCATTTCTAAGATTTATTATATCTGTAAGGCTAAAATATTCGTAACAATCCATTTTTTTTTGAGAAAAAAAAATCGTATGTGATAAAAATATTAACTAGTTAAATATTTTATAAAATATCTCAAAGAAGAGCTAGTGAAAACATTCCTCCTTACTTCAATTCGGGGGGCAAAAGCAAATTGCAGGGTATATTTCTTTCTTCATTTACACATCTTTTTTCCAAAAATAGACTGCCCCCCCCATGACTTTAATTTTGAGTTTGAATATTACAGCGAAAATTATGTGCATCTGTTTAATATTATAGAAATAACTAAGATGTGAATAATTTCGATTACTCCCACTTTTAGCAAACCATTTTCTCGATCGACCTAGCCAGCAGGACCTTGTCAAACACACCTTAAATGGAAGTATCTCAGTCGAATATTCGAATATTTAAATCAATTACCTGCACCTGGCCTATTTTAAAGTTTTAAAGTTATTGTCTTCCCACAAACTTTTATTAAAATAGAACATTTGGTGTTATGACTACCTCACAGTAGTTTTTGCGTTAGTGTGAAGTAAAAAATAAAGCAGAGTCCTACATAAAACTGTAAAACATTGGTAGTGAAGTATTAAACTTGGGATAAAAAGAATCTGCCATGCTTTATTGTTGGATATGATTTTTATATATCCAACTCACTGTGTTTTATCCACTCGCCATGCCAAACTACACATCATGGGAGATCCTATATACATGTATATACAACATGTACCTCGTACAGGCACGTAGTATCCGGGGGGCCAGGGGGGGGCTGCCCCCCCCCCACTTTTTTCCCGAACATTACCTTTACTATAGAAAATAGCAAGAAAATATAGGAAGAAATTGGAAGTGAAAGGAAGTTTGCCTTGAAAAAAGTTGGCTACTAACCCACCCACCCCACCCCCAACCCACTCCCACGAAATAGGATTTTCCAGTAATGTTCAATTTTCATTTTTTTTTTTGGCTTGTAAACTTTTTGGGTAAAGTAAAAAAAAATGTTCTCAGGTTGCCCCCCCCACTCCACTTTCATAAACGATGCTACGTGCCTGTCGTATAAGACTCTGATTTGACGTTATAAATTTTGAATTTACCGGATGGCACTAAATACAAAATTTACACCACGACAACGTATTTAATACCACATGCAGTAAATCAATTTTTACAACATGCAATAAGCATAACCAAACGCAAACTTTAATACATTTCTATTTCGTCCAGCCAAAAAAACACTTTAAATATTCGCATTAACATCGTACTCTAGCTATGCATTTGATTTAGCAGATTCTGAAAAAGAATACAATGTTTCCCTACTTTTTTGAGCATTGTATGTTTGCTATTTTTACTTTCTATGCTGGTTGCAGCGCCTTTTCCTACTGTTTGTTGCCGTAAAGTCAAACACCCGCATTTCAAGATATGGTAGGGTTATTTTGAGGAGGGGGGAACTAGTAAGAAAAAAATAGATTACCCCATCCCCCTCTTTATTTCGTTACTGGAATTTTAACCTTTTAAACTTTGAAACCTTTGCTATATCTTTAACATAAGCTACACAACCTCACAAGGGTTTAGAAATTGTCTAAATCTTTTCTTTCTATCTTTTACGTAAGTAAAGTAACACTCCCCATACTACTAAATAAATCAACTTTTAGATCCAAATCTATTTAGTCAAATGTTTCATTATCAAGATAAATAAATACATACGCGACAAGTATTTAAAATGAATTTTGAAAACTGTATGACCTCTGGTTGTCATTTACGTGAATAATCCCAATGATATTTAAGGCGTACCAAGCTATTTTCAATATTTAACAAAATGAAACACTGTTCATACAATCGTCGATGTGTTATAAATACGACCGGGGTGGTAATTAGTCTCCTACCGGTGAAACCGAAAGGGACTATAGGTTTTTTCAGTCTGTCCTACTTGGTTTTCTGTATTTTTTTTCTGGATGCTTGCAGATATTGAGCTGAATTCTGCTATTTGAGTATATCTTTATGAGTAGCAGGTCAAGTTTGCAGGCTCAAGTGAGCTTTTCCCATCCAAATTTGTCCGTTGTCTGTCGTCGTTATCCTTGTTAACTTTTCACATCCTTATCTTCTAATTCTTAAAAACCACGGGCCACTTTTAACTAAACTTGTCACAAAGTATCCTAAAGTAAAGGGGATTCAAGTTTGTTCAAATTAATGAAAGGTCACACCTTTTCGAAAGGGGGGTTATTAAGGGGGAGAAAAATTAATGGCGTTCTACAAGAAATCCTTTAAAGAACCTCTGAGCCAGGAAAAATGAAACTCATGAGGAATCATCCTCAGGTGTTTTAATTTCAATTTATTCAAATCATGACCCCGGGCCGGGGGTTTGGTGGGGCCAAAAAGGCCGATCAAATTTTTATAATATATAAGAAAAGTCTTTTAAAAACTACTATGCTAGGAAAATGAAACTCATGTGGAATCATCCTCAGGTAGTGTAGATTCAAATTTGTTCAAATCATGACCCCTGGAGGTTAGGACGAGGCCACAATGGCTAATCAAAGTTTTACCTGGGAATTAATAGGACAAGTCTCTAACTACTTCTTTTCAAGAACAATTGAGACCGGAAAGATCAGAAACTGATTGATCCTTGTCATGTATAGAAGGCAATGTGTAAATAAGGACCCTAGGATTAGAATGAATATGTTTGGCAGCATTTGATTTCATGATGAATTGTATTTCATTTTTTCTACTACAGATTTTTATGACTTTAGACGAAACTGTTACATGTAATACATTTATCCTTGTTTCATCCAGCTGTTAATACAAACTGTAGTTAAATTACCTCATTTTATAAATTACTCGAAAGGGATATCAAGTAGTCAATAGACATTACCCTTACATTAAAATGTAAAACTGTCTCAAAAAGGGAAAACCAAACTCGAAATGTTCTGACAATACGATGCGACAATGTGAACATTTATTCCATTTATTCATACAGGGTGTCCCATAATATATGATACCATTTTAAATTATTGCCAGAAACGCAGGTCTTGACCAATTTTCTATGAAATTTGTCTCATTAAATTTGAGTGAATAGAATTATTAGCAACAAATACTTTTAGTTTAATTTTTACACATAGTTTGAGTAATGAAGTCACTTAATTTCGACTAAAAATTGCATTTGAAGCAAAATTGATATATCAAATAAGCTGGCTTCCCTCGTTTCAAAACTGTAATTATCAAATCCAGTCTTAAGATAATTTTACTAAACCTAAATCTCGAATCTTACATTGTAAAAGCTAAATATCCAATGAAAATTTAGAATATAACTAAAGAAAAACGCATTGTTGTCTTAAGTTATGGAATTTTGTTTAATATATAGACATTATCATTATTCACTTGGACGTCATTTAGATGACATTTGTTAAAAACAATAGCATTTTTCAAAGTAAACTTATTTTGTCGTGTTCCTTTCAATTTCTATAAAGTTTTGTGAATAAAAGTAAGTAGACAGTATATGCAATCTTTATAGTGCATTTGTTGTAATTCAATATCCATTCCAATAAATTTTGTATATTCATGAAATGGTATCATATATTCTGGCACACCCTGTATATTGTACTACATGTGCATGTTTTAACGAGAAATAGATTTATATTCAGGTAGGATTATTCTCGTATTTCTTATATTTAAAAATTTATGAAATTTTCACAGAATCGAGAAGACAATATCAATTAGTTAAAGTATTTACTAAGAGACAAAAAAAATATTTTTTATGCATTTTTGGCTAAAATTTGTACTTTGATAGGAAAGGTTTATAAACTTACATAGTTCTAGTTTGTTTGTAAAATCATACTCATTTGATATCTTTTAAATGTTTAATACCTTATTATTAATTTAACTTGCATTTGAAAATTTCTTCAAGTCTTTGATTGTGTAAAAATTTTAACTAAATTGTCCTATTATAATTTTAGGAGGCAGAAAAGAAGATATTTTAATACGCCACCATTCCGCTAAAAATATAGTCCATGCTAGTTTTTAAACGCAATTTACCATTTCTATTTAAAGTTCTAAAATTCTGATGAGGAAAGAAAACTAATTTTTTTTAATCCCGTACACCTAGATATTTTAGACATCTGTGACAGCGACTGGGAAAATGGGACCGAACCCTTTATAGAGTTATTAAATAAAAAGACACTTTGAAAACAGGGAAAATGCACTTTTTCATGATATTTAATCTGAACTTCAAATTTAAAACCAGGGAAAAGTAATGAATAAGATATACACTTTTTTCTAAAAATAAATTGAATAGAAATTTTAGAAATGTACAGAATTAAAAATATTGTAACCATTGTCATCATGGCAACAAAATAAAATAAGACCCTTTATCATTAACATAATCATCTTTGCAAGAGTTCAAAAACAATAAGTGTTTATAAAAGTTTCAATATTTCATAAACATCCTGTATTCATAAATTTTCAATTTTTAAGGAAGCTATAAACACTGACATAAACTATTCTATGGCTTGAAGAAGTTTATGTCATATAAAAGTGTACAGACCAAGTTTATCAAGTTCATTTTCAACATAAGGTACCTATTGTATTTCCTTTAAAATATGTTCACAGACAGTTTAGGTATCTTAAAATTTCTTCAAGTTTTTGATTGTGTAAAAATTATAACCAAATTCATTGTTCTATTACAATTTTAGGAAGCAGAAACGA